GTCTACAAAAACCAGGTTTCTGTATACAAAAGGAGATGGTAGTCACTCTGAATCTACCATGGTAACGTGTTTCATTTATTAACTGTGATTATTATTAATATTTCATTCTACCTTTTATCATTACTATTTCTGATTCACTTAAAACTATCTTTTATCATTGCCATTATCTTAACTCGTTTTAACATTATTATTATTTATTAGCATTACTACTATTATCAATATTATTTAGTTCGAAATTCTTGATATCTTATCAGTTATGTGTCCCAATGTAATTCTAGTGGTATATATATATATATATCCCTGTATATAGAGTAGCCTAATGAAGAGTTCTACCGAAATTCGATGAATTCATTAAATCCTGCTTCATGAACTTTTGTTGCCTGTTTTAAATATACACAAGTGATGAATTCAAGTTTATTGGTGATAGTCCGGCAAAGTTAAACTGAACTAGATTCCAAAATTTGTATACGACGAAGTAACTGGAAGTCCATTAATTTATTTATTTTGTAAACGAAACGTGGAACTGAATCTCAAATTATCATATCTTATACTGAATGTTATATTCAAAGGAGTGGTGAGTTTAAAGAAGTAATAATACGATTATTAAGACCAATATTATGAAATAATATGGCAGCCATGTTTTGAGAATAGAAACGTGTGTGTATGGAATCAAACTCATTGTGTCAGGAAAACTTATATTCTTTATTTAATTAACTATCACAATTGGAGTGTTGCACACTGTAAAACAACATATAGAAGACTGTGTGCGAGACCAGAAGACCTTAATTTCTTGCCACACTCGAATTCAAAAGTTCAGGTCACTTGTTTACAAAAGCTACTGAAAAACCATGTAAAGTAGTTGTGTATTTACTGGTATTGTATGCCATGAATAATTCTTGTATAAAATGTTCTCATTTTGTAAAGTATATCCGGTTTCCTTGTCTACTGACGCAAAGGTAGCCGTGATGTAAGCTTCTGATTTTATAAATACACCATTTTCTCAAACAAATTCTTCATATTTTATGTTTGATTAGTTGGTCCTTAAAAACCAATAAGGTATTTTGTTTATTTGCAACATTAAACTGTGGACATGTGAATTTTATGCACTTTGAATGTGTAGCAACATCATATTTAATTTTTACATTTTCACAAATTATTCATTACAGAAAACAACAATATTCAGACTTTCGTTGCATCCTAGAGTAGAGAAGGAATACTACTTGAATGATTCCGCAGTATTCTGACAAAATTGAGATATTCGTAGTCCTGTACTATTACTCTTTGCAATTAATAGTGTTTTCTGAGCTGGTTGGTTTAGTTGCGAAGCTTTCGTTTTGCTTCTGGACAACATCTTCAGCGCCATATCTAGCACAAAGTGAAATGATTTAAATTTCTTCATGAGTAATATAATTGCGTCTCCTGGTAACTATCTTTACATATCGCTTAATTCGATATTATGCAAACCAAAAGATCCAACAGAAAAAGGGGGTAAAATTAATACCATTTACAAAATAAATTGTATGAACTGTAACAAGCATTACATCGGCCAAAGTGGGCGTCCCCTTCGAATTAGAATCCAAGAACACAAATCAGCCGTGAAAAGACACGATATATTCTTTAGTATCAATGCATATAGATAATTATGGTCATCAATTTGATTGGGATAATGTCAAAATCTTAGGCAGAGGAAACACTAAAAGTGCCAGGGAATTCCTAGAAGCCTGGTACTCAAACGAAAATGCAATTAACAAACACGTTAATATAGACGAAATATACCAACTAATAAAAAGGAAATCAGGTGATCAGAAAGTTTAAAATCCAAGTTAATAGAAAATGGTCAATACATATGTAAAGATGGTTACCGGGAGACGCAATTATATTACTCATGAAGAAATTTAAATCATTTCACTTTATGCTAGGAATTGCGCTGAAGATGTTGTCCAGAAGGACGACGAAGTCTCCGCAATTAAACCAACCAGCTCAGAGAACACTATAAATCGCAAATCATCCACCTGAGCTACAAATCTTCTCTACTAGTTACTCTTAACGATAAACCTAAAATTAAAGTCTGGCGAAATGACGCCTTAAGACAGATACTAACTTGATTCTAGCTTCAAAGGCTAAGTCTCCGTAGTTATGCATTATGTAAAGATGAAATATGATAAATAATAGTAATATATACTTTAGATTTTTACAAGCTGAGAATACAGCGGGTGAATATAGCTGCAGCGTAGTCATTTTGACAGCGAAAAACCCTTGATGGACTGTTATTTTGACTACTGTTAATCCCTTTCTTACTTTTAGTTTGTTGCTGTTTTTTATCGACCCACAGAGACCGTGTATCTGACGGGATTCAGCCACCGACACCTCACAATTTGAGGTTTGTGTATTATATTTCATTATGTATAATATTAGGCGTACTTTATGCAAATCCTGTGTTTTGAATTTTATACGTAACTCAACATGTGGTTAATTATTCGACTGGAATTATCACTCTGGATTTTGTAGAAGAAATCCGCACATATATCTTTCCAATTTATGTGTTACAATACCATTTTCCAACACGACATTACACTCATAGATCCAGTATACTCTCTTTAATGCACGCTGAACAAGAATCGTTTCTAAACATGAAAGCGTGACTGCCTGTGCAGGTTATTTGTTCACGCCACCTTAGGATTACGTTAAAAAGCAACCTTGGATTGCTTGAACAAATTATCTGGGACAATTTTCAAGAAGTTTATATCTCAAACTATCTAACTGGAATAGAGGGCAGTGATGATTCATGCATGTACTGACGTCGTAACTTTCTTGGATAGTTTTGATTCATTTATTTGTTTCTGAGGGCCTTCGGTGTCATGCAAACAATCAGATTTATTCTATGTATAACTTAAATTACTGAGGGTTTAGTAAGTGTAATATACGATGTATACCATTCTAAATGTCTGAAGAAGACATTTTAAGCAGCCACCTCACGAATCACATTCTTCAGCAGACAGTTAATCCAGTCTAACGTTAAGGATAAGATACCGCTTTTGGCCATCTCAGTGTGTATTTATCAGTTTTATTGCTTTTGTGGAGCAAAGTATATCGGCCGTACGAAATGTCAAGTTCACAAACGTATTGTGGAACACTGTCCAGCTTGGGTAGCCATGGGAAAGAAGAAGAATAGTAGGAGCTCCATTCTCTCGAACACCTTGCCAACTTTGAACATCGAGCACCCCAGCATGAATGCTTCACAGTGTTACACAGAGTACCCCACTCGTATAAAGCAACTTCGAATACGCCGTCTGTACATAGCTGAATCATTTGCTATTCGAGATCTGAGGCCGGACCTCTGTATTCAAAAGCGCTAAATACAACTACTTGCCCTACTGTCGCCACAGTAACGTTCTTACCATAATTTTGCTTCATTTTATTATGTAAGTATACTATATTATTATTATTATTATCGCATTATCATTATTATTCCCATCATCCATATTTTATTACCACTCTATTACTGTTTGTTAATAAAATTGCGTTTTCATACATTTTCATATGAAGACACTTTATCACCTTTCCACTAGTTCCTGTTCATTCTACACTATCTTACTGATTAGTCATTACCTCACATTTATTACGTCATGCCAGCTTCTGCCTCTTTTCTAACTTCCACTTAGTCATCCCTTCAAGGTTACACGTCACATTACGCAATACACTTTTCGAGGACAAAGTTTATCAGCATCTGATTCGTTTAATGATTTCTTTGTTAAATATAATTACGATTGTACAGTTGGTAAAAATGAATCGCCTAAAAGAAAAAACTTTCTTCGCCACCTACATCTTTTTCTTATGACCATGTATTTTGTTTAATAAAAGTTGGTTGTCACGGTCGTCAATTTTTCCCAGTTTGACTTTTGCGTCTATCTCAGTTCGGGAGATAGTTTCAGGTGAATAGTTGGTTACAGTTTCATGTTCCACAGGCACATTCTAGTTAAGTTAGACGAATTCCCAACACTAATTATCACTCCATCTTAACGTAAGACGTTTCACTTATTATTCTACCTATTATTATTATTATTTGAAATTAATTATTATTCTTGATTCATTTAAGACTATCCTTTATCAGTAGGATTATCTTAACTCACTTCAACACTATTATTATTACTGTTATTATAGCTATTACTATTGATATTACTCTGTATTTCTTGTTATATTCTCTAATGTCTAATTGTTTATCTAAGTGATTGGGGGGGCGTAATGCAATTTACCTTAATTTTGATCTCTCATACTCTCTTTTCCCTTATCTATTTGAACATGACCTGGAAAACATTCGCACCTATCCTTCAGCATGACTAATTCAATGTAGTTTGTTTACTTATCAGTCTTACATCTCCCAATGTAATTTCAAAAGTATATATATCCGTGTATGTAGAGTATTCAGCTGACGAGTTCTACCGAAATTTGATGAATTCATTAAATCCTGCTTTATTAACTTGTATTGCTTGTTTTAAACATCTTAACTTTATTGATGGATAAAGTTGATGAATCGAGTTTGTAATTAACCCGTTCACCTAGCTGACATGGTACCGTAAGTTACTTTATTTTAATGCGAGGTATCAAGTATCACTTGGCAAGAAACACTAGACCTAGTCTTACTGTATTAGTCACTACTTAACAGGGTGGTAGTAGAAGTAGTAGTAGTACAAAAGAATATTTTGTTTTGTTACAAGTTGACCAACTAATCTTAAAAGGTTGAACGTATATTAAATTTCTATGCAGAAAAAGTTATACAAGTTAAATCAAATATATATATATTAAAATATATTTTGAGAAAATACTTATAAATTAAAAGTATGTGTGTAAAAAAAGAAGATACAAATCATTCCGCAACAGGTTATTGTAGAAAATAGTCAAGCAGACTAGCTCGAAATTAATAACAAATAATTATAATGATGATGACAATTATTTGGTCAATTATTTAATTATTTACGTAATAATATTAACGAATTTAAACTTTAAAATGCCGTCATCACGATAATATCACTTTTTAATTCACTTTGACTATCCATGGTAATATCCGTGTTCCCGTTAGTTGTTGTAGTAGCTTCACTATTATAAGCATTCGATTTTACAATAACTTTTTGTGAATGAATTTCTTTTTTTGTAGTATTAGTTGTCAGCTTCATCCATCCATCCCATGTGGCTGATCTTGAAACTAATCGATAAAATTTCACATCCTCCAAAGAATTTTCAACTTCACCAGTTGAATGAACATTATCTTTTGAAGATTTTTTATAACTCCCTGTATCTGTATTATTACTTTGAAGTTGTGTTAAATTAGAATTATTTTCATTGTTAATTTCTTTTAAATCTGCATCATTATCAGGAGTAGATGAAGTGACAAGACCATCACATTCTTCTTTATTAATAATATTCACCTCTTCATTACCTAAAGATATTGATGATGTACGTGATGCTTGTTCTTCTTTCTCAGCTATCGGTTCAATGGAACGACCTAGTCTCCAGTTTTTCATATATGAACAGAATGTGTTAATTGGTTTATTTGAGAAAAACGATGGCGTAGAAGAAGAAGATGACGATGATGATGTTAATGTTGAAAGTGATAAGGATGATGAGTCCTGCATCGTTGTAATCGGCGAAAATGCATTCATTGAACTTTGTGAGTAAGTGTAGATTCATTTTTGAAAGTAAAAAATAAAACAGGAATGTAGTCAGACCATATAAATGAAAACTCAAAATATTATCGAAAAATCAGAAATGTGCGGATAAAAATTCAATTTCACCATATCACTAAACATAAAACTTCATTTCCTGAACAAATATCTGCGAAATGGGTTTCGGTTTGTTTTTAAAATATAATTTTACTCTGCTCATTGTGTCAGTTAGACTTGAATTTTGATATAAGAATAAAACTTGGGCACTGTGGTAGAGTGTAATTCCATTATGGGTAAATTTTGTTTTGATAAAGTCTCACAGTGTTATACAGTAATTTAAACAAAGCAACAACTACAGATTTTGCAGAATAACATGGTACCATATTTTATTTCGTCGCCTTCTCTTCAGCTGCTTACAGGGCAAAAACATTATTAAATGTATCTACAATAACAATTTAACATACTTACACAGAGTTCATTTTAAACAGAAATCAATCGATCAATATACACATACACTAATAATATATACATATATATATATATATGCATTCTTTAACACAATTCCGAGCATTAATAATCATACAAAATGAAAGCTTTTTAGTATCTCGCATTAGGATGAAAAATATCCAGTTACCAGGGCAAAGAAAGACTGATAACTGCTTCTTTCTGAACGCACAAATCAGGTTTTAGGCGCTTGATGGAAAAGGCTTCGGCAAACTTAAGGAGCATTGAACTCTTTTGCTTATTGATAATTTTGAATGACTTTTCCACGTCCACCTCATGACCCGTATCAAGACCTTGATATGATTATGAGCAATAAATTGTGCTCGAAACGTCATCAATAAACATTACTGTATAACACTGTGAGACTTTATCAAAACAAAATTTACCCATAATGCAGACTTGAATTTTGTTTGGAAACTCTTGTAGTGATCAAATAACTCAGGCTTAACTTTTAAGCACCATGAATGCTTTAAAAAGCGGATGTTGAAGTTTTTATCCCTAATAGGAGTGAAAATTAGTTATTCTCACCGTGTCTCATTTTCATGACTCAAGGCTTAAAAATTCATGAAAAGCAACTAAAAGGTTTTAGTGTTCACGATGATTCATTATGAAAGAGACTACTCCCTACATATTAATTTGATAATTCTATCAAAGAGGAAATGTCAGGTGTATGTTTATGTAACTAAATACGGGAATAAAATCTTATCAATTCTACAAATATCAATAGTTATTTGGTTGAAATGGGGATTAAGGGAGTTTCGTATGACGATAGTTACTCACCGATGTCATTATGAACCGAAACATAATTTGGAGACTAGCAAGAATTGCCATGATCCACAACGGAAAACTCAGCGAGGCGTTTGGAGTAAACACAGGAGTCAGACAAGGGTGCTTATTATCACCAATGATATTCCTAATTGTGGTGGACTGGATTATGCGTCAGACAGTGGGAAACGAGAAGACAGGGATATCCTGGACCAACGTGAAGAACCTAGAAGACCTGGATTTCGCACGTGGATGATTTATGTCTGATGTCACACAAAATCGAAGACTTACAAGCGAAAACCGACAAACTGGTCGAAGAAGCAGCCAGAGAAGACAGGACTCCAGGTGAACATAGACAAGACGGAGGTTATGAAAATAACCAACCAACAACAGCAACAGCAGCAACATCCAGCGCCAATCACCATCAACGGGAGGGATTTGAAAGAGGTTACTTCATTCACTTATCTAGGGAGCATTGTCTCAACTACAGGAGGAACGGACGAGGATGTCAAATCGAGAATCGGGAAGGCGAGAAACACATTCATCAACCTGAAACCAATCTGGAAATCTTCGTCACTCAGCATCAACAACAAAATTCGGATTTTCAATACAAACGTCAAGTCAGTCAGTTCTTCTATACGGATCAGAAACTTGGCGGGTCACAAAGAATATTTCCAACAGCCTGTTGCAGACCTTCATCAACAGCTGTCTTCGTTCTATACTGAAGATCAGATGGCCGGAAAGAATCACCAACAAGAAACTATGGGAACAAACAAAACAAGAACCAATCGCCCAACAAATATGCAGGAGAAAGTGGAGATGGATTGGACACTCGCTGAGGAGGCCGTTGGGTGACATCGCGCGTCAGGCCAGCGCTCGAGTGGAACCCGAAAGGGAAGCGGCGAGTGGGACGTCCAAGGGTGACATGGAGGAGATCGTGTGAAGAGGAACTGAAACAGTATGGACTAACATGGATGCAGGTGAAAAGTACAGCAGAAGACAGAAGCAAGTGGAGACGTGCAGTTGAAGCCCTATGTTCCACTAGGAACCCAAGGGAACAATAATAATAATGGAAGACGAAATGATAAAGCATAGAATCAGAAAAATTCATCTATTGTCGCTGCGAATTTTCGAAGTATTATAGTCGCCTTTTGGAATATATAGTGTTTCTTGAGAAAAGATAGAAAGTAAGTATTGAACTATTATGTGCACTTATTTTTAATCCAATTTTGACTTTCCCGTTGACTGTTTGGACCGAAAGTCAAGACAGAATCGAAAATAATAATTGACACGAGTTGCACAAGAGGTGGTTCTCGTGGCCCTAGTGGATAAAGCTTTGACGTTTGAAACGATAGGTACTGGGTTCGAGTCTAAGGGGGGACACCATCACTCGTCGTGGAATGCAGGCAAATCCAGATGATGAGTCCCAAGCAGGAAGAAATGCACATCCTGGATTCCCTTGCTGGCCATCATCCACGGAATGTACTATGTACTGTTTACAAGCATTTACACAATCTCTTTATTGTCTATTTACTTAGTATATTTCACTTAATTCGTAAACTTAAGTAGCAAATTTAGCTAAATGAACAGTTAGATTATACGATAAAATAACAATCTTGATTCATTTTCTTGTATTAAGGTATATCGATTTCTTTTGTACTAATAATACTGAGAATTAGCTGAAGAGTATTATGGAATACTTAAGAAACATACAGTACAAGATATAATTGATAAAATGGACAAACAAAAAGGTATGTAACACTGTAATTAAGCAGGCAAAATAAAAATACAACTGTGTTATTAATATCGATTCCGAGTCACATTTCCAAAGTTTGTAATTTAGCCACTGGTAATAATGCAGATTCAAACAAAACAAAAAAACAGAGCTCAAATGTATGGCAACAGAATTCACAAATCGAGGCTACTTTTGAATTCGGCCACCCTTCGCTTTTAACCAACTTAGTTCTAATCCCTGAAACATAGTATGTCAAAGAAGACTGTTTTTAGATATACTTGACTAAAGGCCTATTCATGTGACCGCACATTTTGTTGGGAATCTATGGCTAATCTGTGCATTAGGCATCTAATAATGCTACCAAAGGTAATAATGAACATAAAGGTGATGGTAATTGGATAAAACTAATTACTGAAATTTGAGGGGTGACTAAAAGTTGTTTAGTCTCGCCATGTAGAAAACAGATACATCCAATAACCCATCATGGCAGCCATTAAAACAACTAATTCAGTGGAAATCCTTTCTGATCACCATTCTATATAGTAGCGCAAATTTTATTTTAGCAGTTTTCTAAACTGAGATATTTAGCAAATTGTGAATGATATCAACTCAACAAAGATAGTGTGACATAGGCTTCTACACAAACAGTTTAATCACTTATAAATGTGAATCAAAACTAATAATTAAAAGGTCCTCATCGTGTATCAAGATTAGGCTATTTCTCAGATGTGAAATCGAGTAATCCTACGGTGGAAATGAAAGAAGTTACTGTATGTTAATAAACACAGGCTTCTATACTTGCTGGAAAAACTAAAGGAATAGTATTAGTCACCAAACTTGATAATAAGCAGTCAATTATGCTCAGCCTGATTCATTTATTTCGATCTAAGAATGATACAGTTTCATAAGTTCTAACAGTAGAGAGATGAACTCAGCAGTTAGGACACCCTGTATTTAAGTTTATCATATGCTGACGATCATCAGACAATGTTTCTGTAACTGTCAGCCCTCTCAAATCTTCGTACCGGCGTCACTGTCTACATACGCAGATACGAGTTACTTGTGAGTGTGAATATGCGCGAAGTCAAGGTCCATAAAACCATGGCAACTGCATCTAATCAGTTAACTTCTTTCCAGATAGTATCATTATGGTGAATCTCCTAACACTGCCGTTGAATCGAAAACCTGACTGATAGAATTCAGTCAAGCAACACAACACTGATTACTTTCCGCTGAACAATCAATGAACCTACTTCCTTCAAGTGACTTTATTTCTTATTTAACCACAGATCCTATTCAACACTAAAGTTTTGGTCAACTGAGAGTTTTACGAGTTAGTTAATAAGATCGAAGCTAATTTGGTCATCAGCATCAAAGTTACTAAAGTGCATAAATTAATGATGAACAGCATGGTAATTCTTTTAGACAATTATAATGTTTCTTTCTGGTTTTCTAACTAGTAAACTATCGCATCAAATAACACATTTCATCATAGAGCATTAGCAACAAGAAACTTTGACAACGATCCAACCAAGAACCCATTGCACAACAAATATGTCCAAGGAAGTAGGGATGGATCGGACACAAAGTGAGGAGACTGTCGGGTGACATTTCGCTCCAAGCTGTCGAGTGGAAGCTGGATGGGAAACGATGAGTTAGGCATCGCTTCGATGGTGACATGGAGGAGATCGTGTGAGGAGGAGATGAGGCAATCGTGGAGTCGTCTAAAGAGAGCTGGAGAGAACAGGATGGAATACAGAAGTGCTATTGAAGCCTTATGTTCAACTCGGAACCTAAGGGAATATTAATAATAATCAAAGATTTTTAAATATCCATTAGATAAAAGAACCACTTATATTTTAATATAATCTTGAGATAGGTGTATGCAATGCAGATAACGCATTCTACACTTGTAGTTTGCTTTTTTTCATTCCTTTGTGTTCCGAGTAGGACGAAGGCCTTCAAGCTTTAAGCTGCGAAGTTGCAGTAGCTGTGTT